GTCTTGTATGTCTTTTATGCAACTGTTCATGATACTTTAAAAAGTGGCATAATGCATGGTTTCTAGCCAAAATGTCCCTTTTAAAGCATGTTTTGCATGGTCATCATACTTAGTACTTAATTGTGCTAATTCCATATTTCTCTATTTTTACTATAAGTGTAGGTTCCGGCAAGTGATCCCTCCTAGCTAGTTTGAAGTGTTGGATTGCTTTCCTCCAAGACTTGGTATGTCCTCATGGATTCGAGGATAAGACTTTTAAGTTCTTTTGTTCATGTAATAGACTTAATATACTTCTTTTGATTGTAAAGGGCCGTGTCCCTACTTATGTTTTGTGACTGTGTCTAAGATGGCCATGTGAGACTTAGACTTTCGCTGTGTGTTTTTAAAGTTGTTTTAATGAAGTTTAAATGTGTGGATGTAAATAAGTTTTTTTTTATTATTCCGCACTATTTTCATTATTGAATGCAATGAATGACTATGTGGCTCGTATAAGACCCCTTCGGGGTCGAATACGCCATGTTACGACTAGGGGGTACTCTCGGGTCGTGACACTAAGGCTAAGCACCGAGTGGATATGGTTAAGATGGTAGCTCTCCCGAGTATGAGGCAAGAGTACAATGAACATCTTTGGATATCCCCTAAACCATGTGCCTACATGGGATGTGTCCTAGTTCTACCCTTGGCAAGTAGAACACCTTCCATGGTGTAGGGTTTTATGACACCGGATTCCATGTCTAGCTCGCATGGTCTATGTCGGTTAATGCCTACTCCCATCATGTGGGATGTGCACTCTAGTTATTGGATAGGTTCTACAACGTGTAGGTAGTAGTATGGGATGCTATCTACATATGACACGAGTAGGCTTTGAAGATACTAAAGTGAGTTCCCTAAGTCTAACGACTATTATGTGAAAGTCCCCTTATGTGCTTGAATGTCTCCAAAATGGTTTCTTAAAGAATGTTGGTCTATTGATGTTATGTTGTAAAGGAAATGTCCTTATCTAAGGTAATCTTGGGGAACACTTAAGTGTGCTTGAAGAGGTTGTATGGGCGGTCACTTCTTGTCTCACTCAAGTGTGTCTTAAGATTATATTAGGTAGAGGTCCTATGGTAATGAAATGACATGTGTTCTTTTAAAGTTAAGCATGGGTTGTATATGGACATATGTTGAGTATATGTATGGTTGGCTATGGTCTTATATGTTAATGTTGACTTGTATTATGTCTCTTATACTTATAAAGGAAAGGTTTTATCAAATGCTATGAAAGCATTTACTTCCTTGAAAATGTCCTTTTTGGCATGTTTTTGCATGGCCTCCATACTTAGTACTTAATTGTGCTAACCCCTTTCTTTCCCTTTTTGGACTAAAGTGTAGGGATTTGGAGATGATGACATGTCATGGCTATTTGATAGGTTTCTAAGTGTTGAAGATGAAGACTTGGTGAGTCCTTATATATTCGAGGACAATACCCTATATGTTCTTTTATGTCTTTTTAGTATTGTTTAAGTTGTGTATGGGATTGGTCACGAATTTTGTACTCTAAAGTATTAGATGGTTTTGAGACATCATGTATAAAGTCTAGAAAGTCTTCCGCTTGCTATTGTTTTTTTTTTATGAAATGTCTTCTTTGTAAAGAAAGTTTTTAATTCATTATGGTTTTTAGTTTTATGCGATGAATGAATGCTAAGAGGCTTGTATTAGACCTCCGAGAGGTCGAGTACGCCGGTTATGACTAGGGGGTGCTCTCGGGTCGTGACATCTACACTTTCTCTTTTTCTCTACATCAACTCCCGTAGTTTTTTTTCACTTTCAACAATGACGTCACTCATGGATCTCGATCCAAAGCCCTTAGCGGAGCCACCAACAACTCGACGTTTTCCTCCTTTTTTGGGCCTTTTTTTCACAATCGATTTTGAAGTTGAAGATGCATCCTTCTTCGATTAAATTTGTAGATGAAAAAACTAAAAAATAAAAATAAAAATCGACTACTTGATGAAGTAGAAAGAAAAAAAATAGATGAAGAAGAAGATGAAGAATAACTACCTCTTCAATAACTTACAGTTGATAAATCAGAAAGAGAATAGATTTGAAATTCAAAAATAGAGTGATGGAGATAATTGATGATACGTGATTTTAGGCATGAAAAAAGGAAAAAAAAATCTTGGGGTAATAGTTTACAATGATGTATCCGGCAAGTGAGAGAAATTATGGAAAAGAGGGATTTTTGTATTTTTTTGGAATGGTAGGGAATAATAGAAAATAGAGTAAAAAAGGATGTGTAGTAAGGTAATTAATCCAAAATAATTAGATTAGAGTATGTTACTTTTAAGTTATTTTTAGGTTTTGGGAGTGTTTGATAAAGGTAAAAATAACTTAAAATAAGTTTAAAATGACTTTAAAAAAGTTTAAAATAGGTACTCCCTTACTTTTCATTTTTTAACTTAAAAGTTACTAAAGTTTGACGTTTTAAAAACTATTTTTAAAAAGTTAAGCCAAATAGGCTCTAACTTTAATTTTGGTTTAACTTAATTAAATCCTTTAAAGACAAATCATTTTTGTTATAATCACTTATTCCATTTGAATGAATTTATTTAATGTTTTCCTTTATTTGGTCATCTTTGACAAAAGTTTACTTTTTTCCAAAATCATCTCGAGTGTTTAAGTTAATTTATTTTCAAACAATTTAAATATTCGTTTCCTTTAAATATTTTCCAAGTAAGTCAAATAAGTTTTCTTTTTCAAGTCGTCGGATACCGCATGCTAGCGAACATTTCAAGTCCCTTAAAAATATTTTTGAAGTGTAAATGAGAACCCCGTACACTTTTCTCTAAAAAAAATTGGCTTAATTATGTTAAAATATTTAAAATTAAGTGGCAACTCCTTTAAAAATTGATTTTTTTCTCTTAAAGTTGAATCAATTTTGAAAACCAGTTACTTCTTAACATTAAACAACACCTGCACACAGACTACCGTATCAATTGCACTATCTACTCTTAATCGAACACAATAAAATCATTGCATATACATTCTAGCACAAGTAATAAAAAGTCAATGACATAAAACATGTTTTCACAAATAAAGATATATTAACACTCTTTTAATACAATAAATTATTACGCAATGAGTCTATACAATAGCACCATCTAAGTTATTATGCTATATTTTTAGGCCACTTTTCTCAAAGTACTCCCTTGAAAAGAAATGTAGGCAAACAAACACCCAAAGGAGATCTAATCAATATAAAGATTTAAATATATACAGTAACCCTTAATCATTTTGAATTAAAGTACAAATCATCATCATAACAAATCATACATGTAACTATTTGTTGATATAATCATTGATTTTAAAGCTAAGATACAATAATTATAATGACATTAAAAAAAAAATAAAAATATATATATATTACATTGCTTCAAATTACAAAATATCACCAATGAAGTTATTATTGAACCTTTTTTCATATTAGCTTTAAAATCAAGGAATATTATTAGTAAATGATAATCCTACTTCAATTCGGAAAAAAAAAATTAAGAAGTAAAACATATTTTTAATTATATTAATTTTTTAATCATTATCTAAATGAAAATCAATGATGAGGTCTATGATTTTATATATATGACTTGGGGGTCGTTTGGTGGAGTATATTAGTCATTTGATAGAGTAAATTAGCAAAAATAATGCATTCACTAACTATGTGCATTATTAAGGTTGACAAAATCAAACCCAACCCGCCCAACCCGTTTAAATTTGGAGAGATTATTAACTCGTCAATTTGTTAGCTCAACCCATTAAAGATTGGGTTGAGATGTAACCCAAATTGATTCATGGAATTTTTTTGTCATTTTTAAAAAAAAAAATTGATTATCATAATAAAGAAAAAACAATAATTTTATTAGGTAAAAAAAACAAATAAGACAATTAAACTTCTTCCTACATGGCAGATAGAAGCTCAAACTTACAGACGATCAACTCTTGCTTTTTCCTTTTTTTGGTTGTTCATTTATTTCTTTTGTTTATGGACAGATTGTAGTTGTTTTTGGGCCGGATAATTTTTTTTTTTTTGTTGGATTGAGTTGGGTCTTTCGTTCTATAACTCGTTACTCAACCCTTTTTGACCCAATCAAATTTGGGTTGAGTTGAGTCTTGACCCAGTTTGTTGTCTTGATCTATTACGTACGATCCGTCCAAATTTAACCCAACTTGCCAATTGGTACCCTTAGTTATGTACTCTATTGTGTACTGAGGTGTGTATTACTAATACCATGAGTTTTTAGGTATTAGTAATGCAAGAGGATTTTAAGCATGCATCAATATGGTTAAAGACCCATTACCCCTCAAAATCATTTTTACATCTTTTCCACCATACTTGTGAAGGGTATATTTATAAATAATTTTTTTAATACAATGCATGATATTTTTAATACACCAAATTAAACAATAAATAATAAATAATCTATGTATAAATGCAAGTATTACTAATACAAACATTATTAACGTAAGCATTACAGATACACTCTTCCAAACGACCCATTATATTCTCAATTTAAAAAGTATATGGTGTAATTATATTTTAATTGATAAAGGGATATTAAGAAAAAATATTATTGTCCATTTTTATATTAATTAAAGGAATTTTAAAAAAAGAAAAAAAATAATTATTAGGAAAAGTAATATCTTTGACCAGGAAGTAATGTAATAAGATTATTTTTGACTAAAATATTAATGGAAGATTACTTTTAGTCAAACTAATATTTTTTTAATTTAATTTTGTATAATTTAATTACTCATTTTGTAATGAAGAATTTTTTCCCATTTATAGACCTCACAAGAAAATAGAGGGAAGACTAAAATTTGAAAATTTGACCTAAAATTTGACACCAATATTTTTTATCGCGAAAACATCCCCGCGTCGTTTGGGCATTAGTCTATACTCTACACCCCCTTTATCTCTCTCTATTTAAATAAATCGCCAATCGTCTCTTCTCTTTCTTAACGCCCTCTCTCTCTTTCTCTCTCTTCCTTCTCACTTTCTCACTCTACTTTGCTTTCTCCGATGGCGCACGATAGCGATCTCCCATGTGACGGCGATGGCGTCTGTATGGCCTGCAAAGTGAAGCCATCGGAGAACGAATCCCTCACCTGTAAGACTTGTGCTACTCCCTGGCACGTCAGCTGTCTCTCTGCTCCGCCCGATTCCATGGGCGACGCCGTCAACTGGGAGTGTCCTGACTGCTCTATGCCTCCCGCCGTCGATGTTGTACCTGTTAAACAGAATGCTGCTGCTTCTTCATCTTCTGGAGGAAGAGGCGATTTGATCGCTGCTATTCGGGTCATTGAATCTGATTCGACTCTCACCGAGCAAGAGAAGGCTCAGAAAAGACAAGACCTCCTGAGCGGAAATTCCAAAGACGAAGACGCGACTGTTGAAGGGGTTAATCAAGACAAGGATGTGCTGAATATTCTCGATGCAAGTTTGAACTGCTCTATGTGCATGCAACTGCCTGAGAGGCCTGTTACGGTATATCTTGATATCTGTTTCTATTTTGTTTTAAGTTTTATCCCCCTTTACTTTTGTATGTTTTATGGTCACATTTGTTAATTGAAACATAAAGTTTATGCTTAAGCTACCCTTAATTTCAAATGCTGAATGCCTCATTGATATCTTAATATGTTATTTGTTCTGCAATAATCGTTGTTTTAAATGGTGTCTGTGGTGTCTTATGCTTTTATTTTGCTTTGATTTTGAATTTTTTTTGTTGTTGTTTGAGCACTAAAGTATTGGTTGTGTACATGACTTTGAACAGCTCAAGCCCAACAGATTGGGCATTAGGATTATTTTACTTACTTGGTTGATCACTTGCTTACAAGTTATCTCAAACCTTTGTTTGAATAAATGCTCTTCTTCTTTTCAAGGAGTAGTAATTTAACTTGCAAGCTTTATACAGCTCCATCTTAAAACTGTTATCTTTTTCATGTCAGACACCTTGTGGTCATAATTTTTGCCTGAAGTGCTTCCAAAAGTGGGTTGGGCAGCGGAAGAGTACCTGTGCTAATTGTCGCACTCCTATTCCAGCTAAAATGGCAAGCCAGCCTCGAATTAACTCTGCTCTGGTCATTGCCATTAGAATGGCAAGAGTGATGCGGTCTGGTGCCTCTAGCGGGTCATCAAAAGTTTCACATTTCGTTCACAACCAAAATAGACCTGACAAAGCTTTCACCACTGAGCGTGCAAAAAAGACTGGAAAGGCTAATGCTTGCAGTGGGAAGATTTTTGTTACAATCCCTGGTGACCATTTTGGACCAATTTCAGCGGACAATGATCCAGAGCGCAACGTGGGTGTTATGGTTGGTGAGACTTGGGAGGATCGTTTTGAGTGTCGGCAATGGGGGGCTCATTTCCCTCATGTGGCTGGTATTGCTGGACAGTCAGATTATGGGGCCCAGTCTGTTGCACTTTCTGGTGGGTATGAAGATGATGAAGATCACGGTGAATGGTTTCTCTATACTGGAAGGTAAAGGGCCTGACTTTTTTTTACTGGATGCATGTGCATTCTGGCTTCTTTTTAAACTCACCTTGTGTACAACTTGTTCACTCAATTTATTAAAGTATGAATCCCACTTGTGATGCATATTTCTATGTTGAATTTCTGTTCTTCATTTCTTTTGTGTTTGTGAACCACACTTTTACTTGTAAAATATCCACACATTGTAATATCATGTCACTTACTAATTGAGTAATTAGTCATGTGACCTGACACTGAATTTGGTCCATGAATGATCTTCTTCATTAAGCTGTTTTTTCCTTTTAGTTTTTTCACAACTTTGCGTGATTATTTTTATTGTCTTTTGTTTGCTTAAATGTGAGTTCAGATTAATACTTGGTTTTGCATTTCTTTACTTATTTACACTGATAATTTTTTGGAAATAGCCTTTCTACCTTAAGAAGGTAGGGGTAAGGCTGCGTACACACCACCCTCTCAAACCCCACTTGTGGGACTACATCTGGTTATGTTGTTTTAATATCTGCTGCTGGTTTCTGCTGTGAGGTACTCTTCTAACTATTTTTATGTTGATTTGTGTTGGATAGTGGTGGAAGAGACTTGAGTGGTAACAAGAGAACAAACAAGCTACAATCGTTTGACCAGAAATTTGAAAAGCTTAATGAAGCTTTACGTGTCAGCTGTCTCAAGGGTTATCCTGTCCGAGTTGTGAGGTCAGTTGCTGCCTTAAACTCTCTGAATAATTAGGTATTGAGCTAAAACAAGTTCTTGCTATTCCTTCTTTGGATTGGAAGTTGGCTGATATATTGTTGTCTTATGCTCTCATGTGCTGGTCCACAAAGTATATGTAGTTTGCTTAGTGAAGTTTGCATGATTAGCTGTTGTACATGTTATCAGTCTTGCCATTCCTTCCACAGTGGTTGTTTGTTCCAATTTTTTGGTAGTGGAAAGTAGTGTGATAAGTGTTCTATATTGCAATCCACTTTCTTTTTTTTCTTTTTGCTTTGGGATGATACTTTCTGCTATTGAGCATATCTTGTCCTGTGACAGCAAACTAATTCTATCAGCATCCACTAATTGGTTTAATACAAGTCGTTTTGTATTTCAATATCCACATCAAGTATCTTTTTCATTTCCATTGGGAGTTTATTTCTTATTCACAAGTTTTATCTTTGTCCATTCCAATATGTATAGGTCCCACAAGGAGAAACTCTCTTCGTATGCACCAGACAAAGGAGTACGATATGACGGGGTCTACAGGATTGAAAAGTGTTGGCGGAAACCTGGGAAACAAGTTGAACTCTTGCTCAAAAGCTTCATGCATCTGCATCTTTTAACTTGTTTTGTCACTTATTTACATTACATTGACTTTTGTGTAGGGATTCAAAGTTTGTCGATACCTTTTTGTGCGCTGTGATAATGATCCTGCACCATGGACCAGGTCTCTTATTGTGTCATTTTACTTTGTTATAATGTCATCCCCTTCTATTTGGGCTTTAATCATGTTCTTGTTCACCTTGTTGTATATATCGGCAGTGATGAACATGGGGACCGTCCTAGGGCCTTGCCTGCCATCAAAGAACTAAAAGGTGCCACAGATATGACTGAGAGAAAAGGAGCTCCAGCCTGGGATTATGATGTGAGAAGCTAGATATTTGTCTGATGATATTTAGAATCTCCAGTTGATTCTTTCCTTTTTGTAATGTAGCACATTAAAAGGATGCTGACTATCTGATTATTAATAACTTTTTACCAATCTAATTGGTGACTTAACCTTTTTTCTGAAAATGCAGTGAAATGTTTTTTTTATAAACTTATTCATATGCAAATCATACAGTTACACGAATGCTGGTATTGTTTGTAATAGTTGTTTCTGTTTTACAGGAGGAAAAGAGTTGCTGGATGTGGAAAAAGGCTCCTCCTCCTAGTAGGAAACCAGTTCAATGTGAAAATGAAGATGGAACAAAAGTGAGACAAGTTAGACCAAAGAGACCTACAATGTCTGTAAAGCAGAGGCTCTTGAAAGGTATACCTATCATTCAACACTTTCCTTTAGATATTTTCCTTTCTAATCTGATTTGACTATGTATTTTGTGTGATTGTTAGTGATTGCATATTCTTCTATTATGTTTCTTGATATAATGAGATGAGGTCTTGATGGTGCAGAGTTTACTTGTCATCTTTGTCGGGAAGTGATGAATCACCCGCTTACCACTCCCTGTGCTCATAACTTCTGCAAGGCATGTTTGGATGGTGCCTTTGCAGGTCAATCCTTTACAAGACAGAGGACATGTGAAGGCAGACGTACATTACGAGCCCAGAAAAATATAATGAAATGCCCATCATGCCCAACTGATATATCTGATTTCCTCCAGAATCCCCAGGTACCTAATTCACAGTACACCTGATGACTTCATGGGACTCCAAAATCTGATCATTACAATCTCAGTTTTATATGTGAATATTTATGAGTAAAACTTAATAAGCACTAGGCTTACTATTCTGACTCTAAATTTTGGTCTTACTCAAAAGGGTGTTGTTTTGGCAGATTAATAGAGAGTTGATGAATGTGATTGAATCTCTGAAGCGTCAAATTGAGGAAGAAAATGCAGCATTAAGTGTTGATGTTGATGATGGTAGCTTGGATGGGAACAATGAGATTATAGCTGATGAGGCTGTTGAAGCAGATAAAAGTGTGGAGGATGATAAAGAAGGTGCACAGCCTGTCAATGAGACTGAAACCAAGCAGACTCACAAGAGGAAGAGATCCAGTAGCATTGACAATGTATCACCCAAAAAACCCGTTGACATATCTGATGTTGTGCATAATCTTGAGGAAGTTGATACTGCCCATACCTGAGGTTTCAGTTTGCGAGTAGCCACAAGTGACTGCACGGTTGATGGAGCTACAACCTATCTATGAAGAAGAAGCAAAATGGTGGCAACTAAGGTGGTTCTGGGAATGATGACTCTGAACAAGCTGGCTGACTCATTTATTGTTGGATAGTTTCAGGTTTATTTAGTTTTGGACCTATATGAACTTGGTACATTAGTCAAATTCCAATTGCATAGCAACCAATTGGTGTTCTATTGTAATCTTTTTGGATAGTAGGTTACAATTATGAATTGCAACCATTAATGATGGATATTTATTTTCTTTATACACCTTGCATTTTGGTGTTAAATTTGTTATGAAGCAATCTCTGTATTTGCTTTCTGCTGAACCTAAGTTCAATATTTATGAACTTTGCATGACGTTCAACAGATTCTTATGAAGCAACGAAGATGAGGGCAAGAGTAAACATTGGGTATCATGAGATTAGATGTGTTTCCTTAAGAAAGGAAGTTTGGGTTTTAGATTTCTATTTGATATCTCTAAAGCCTTAATTGCTAAACTATGATGGGTTTTCGAAACATCCATTTTTCTTTTATTATTAGTACAATGGAAGGGGGGGGGGGGGGGGGGGGGGGTCAAGTTTGGAAAAAAATGCTTAAGGCTAGAGACTCTATTGAATAAGAAATACTCCCTTCGTCCCATTTTATATGACAACATTTCCTTTTTGGTCAGTCCTAAAAAGAATGTCACATTTCCTTATATGGTAAGTATTTAAAGGTACAATTCCTTTTTTACCCTTGTTGGTTCTACTTAATCTTAAAAATAGTATTCCAATATATTTATGAGGAGAGAGAAAAGTGAGTCTACTTTTTAATAGTATGACTATTTTTTGAAGGGGCAATTTGGTAAATATTTCGAAGTCTCCATTTATTTCTTAAACTCCGTGCCCAATCAAATGTTACCACATAAAATAGGACGGAGGGAGTATGATGGGAGCCTATTGGGTTTTTCTAGCATATGATCAAACAACTGATCTAAATTGGGGGATTTACATCATGTAGTGGAGCTTGATTTGTAATTGAGAGTGAGACAAGAGATATTAAAACTGACTAAAAAGAAAAACGAGTCATATAAATTGGGATAAATAAAGTATTTATTATTAGTGAGTCTGCTCAAAAGACCTAGAATACTTTGTTATTTATTCTTGAGTAGATGATTCTTTTGAGCAATATCCCCAAACTAGAATATTGAGATTTTTAGTAGAATTAAATCAATTTTACAAATTATTACGGATATGGTATACTGGCAAATATGGAAAAGAATAAATAAGATGAATTATGGAGGCATTGTGACCTGGAGGAGAGTGATCTATGAGATCTCTAAAAATATTCATCGCTTAACTCTAATTTTATATCCTTGAATGAAGGAAATCCCACAAAAAAGACCCCTTTTCATGGATTTCCTTCATAAGTACATACACTTGATAAGATCTATACGAGTAAGTTGAAAACTTCCTAATTAAGGTAGTTTTAAATGTAATTTGATGATGTTTCTAAAGGAAATTTTGGTCCAACTTCTATAACATACTATATAAAAATGATGGAGGAGATTTACAATTTGCTTTATGTAGAAGGATGACAAATTCTACAAGTGTATTTAATGAGGCTATGATTTTGAAGGAAGGGTATGAGTTGTGTGTGGAGAGATAATTGCTACCTGGCATATTGGAAACAAACTCTTTGGCACTTTGCTAAAACAATTAGGGGGTATGAGATTGGCCTTGGAGCAGTGTAATGTTCATAATGGGGTTTAGAGCTATGATGGAAGGAAATATCATACAAGTTCAACACACATATTAGGAAGACAACACTGTTACAAATATTTTTAGTTAACTGGTATTTTAATTTTGCATGTATACATTATCGAGGGAAGCTAAAGGATTCCTATAGGGGTGGCCAGTGGTTTGGGCTTGGGACTTCCATGTTGGAGGTCTCAAGTTCGAAACCCCTTGCCAGCGAAAGCAAAGGGTTTGCCTTCTGGGCCGAGCTCATCACATCGAACTTGCCTAGTGTGGGCTACCTCTCTTATGTGGTTTGTGAGCTATTGCATAGGAGCGGGGGTTTTACCCTGTGCGCACCCAAAGGATAGCGGTTGTGCGTTTCCCTTGTCATAAAAAAAAAAGGAAGGCTAATGGCATAATTATCTTAGACAAATAACATGTTCTACATATGAGAATCAAATGATTTAAAATGCAGGCGTCAAACAAATTGAGTCAGATATTATAGATCAGCTACGACAATAATGTCCAACAAAAGAGATAGACAAATTGAGTCAGATATTATAGATCAGCTACAACAATAATGTCCAACAAAAGAGATAGACAAGATGAAAAATAAACAATCCACACATCAACGACTTATAGATACATGATGTACAACAATATATAAGAAGATCAAATTGGAGATCTACATAGTACATGTTCTACATATGACAATCAAATGATTTAAAATACAGGCGTCAAACAAATTGAGTCAGATATTATAATCAACTACTACAATAATGTCCAACAAAAGATATAGACAAGATGACAAATAAACAATCCACACATCAACGACTTATAGATACATGATTTACAACAATATATAAGAAGATCAAATTAGAGATCTGCATAGTGGGGTACGGATAAATCCTGATACAATCATGTGAAAACTATTGAAGGTGGGATCAATCTCACCAGAGATTCATTCCATTATAGAAATTAAACGAAAGTAGTAAGATGCATACCTTAGAATGCTTCAGATTTGGTAGATCTAACTTTACTTGACTTAGTAAGATGCATATATATACCTTAAAATGCTTCAGATCTAGTAGATTTAACTTCACTTGACTTGTGATAGGAAAGTTACAAGGCTGGAGTGAACTTCAGTGAGATCTAAATACAAAGCACTCGATGAGTATTTAAAGATGACTTGTGTATATGATTCAAATCTTTTGATTTTTTCCAATTCAGATCGGGTGAAACAGATGACATAGCAAAGCTACAAAAATAGAAATGAAAGAAAAGAAAATAAAATGACGGCCATCTTACTTGCGGCGAAGTCACCGATGATGAAGATGGCCGCTGAAGAAGGCGACTTCTTCTAGAATACTTTTCACTTCCCTTTTGAGACTTTTGAGTATATCACATTTTGACCCCCCTTTATCTTTTAGCCTTTTCATTTTCTTGGGTGGGCTGGGTTGGGTTGGGATACTAGACCTATTCGAGGTTTGTGTTCATAATGACTTTAGCCTTTTTTGTAACATTAAAAATGAAAAAATGGGTGTAGTAATAGTATAATACACAAATACATATGTCAAGTAGAGGATAAAGACTCACACAATTTTTATTGGTAAGTATCACATTAAATAATTTGTTTTCTAGAAATGATGAATGACACTTACTTCTAACATTGTTCCGAACACATGAAAAAGCAAAGTCATTTAATTAATTAAGCTAGCCCATACAATTGCATTTAAGATTTGATTAATAAGTATGTACGTTCATTTAATACATACATGTCTCGTAAATGTAACAACAAATTTGGTCAAAGAGATGTTGAAATAAATAAGGAGATGGAGAGGTTTAAGCAACAAGAGCATATGACATTATCGATGATCTAACAACTATAAAATGGTTAATTGTAACACCTTGAAATTTGAAAAAGGGAAAGAAGATAAAAAAGGTTACTGGTACGATTCTACGAGACCAATCTATGGTTCTTAGGAAGTTCTATGGGTTGTAGACCAGTTTCGTAGGAAGTGGAAAAAATATTTTGAAAATAAGCTCTAGTAACCTATTTTACGATTGACCAGGACAGTCCATTGAATGGACTACGAACCGTAGGAAGATCCCGTAGAAAGGTCCCAGACTCAACGAAATTTTGAGTTGAAAGTTGAGGTCTACAGATGGGGTCTACGTACCATAAAAAGTTTGACGGTCCGTAGAAACATGTCGTAAGAATTGACTTTGATTTTAGGCCCCAATCACTTGACGTACGATTGACCAATACGGTCCGTAGGTCGCAATCGCAGGTCTGTCCTACAGTTATTTCAAAGGGGTATTTAGGCCTTTTACTATGTGTTTAGTACTTAACTTATGTTGTTTTGACCCTAATCCTAAGCCCTATATAAGGTTTTAAGTCCTAAATCTACCCACTCTAAATTCATTCCCCTAATTCTCAAATTCTAACCAAATTCATCTCCCCTCCAATCTCTCTCAAAGAAGAAAAAGAAGGATTCTAGGGCTTTTCAAGTTCAAGTCTCCTTTCTTCATCAAGTGTTTAGGGCTTCAAAACTAAGGTATGTAGGGAGTTCATAAATGGGTTCTATTTATTCATTGAGTCCCTGAAGTTTCTCAAATTCTCCAATTCAATTTCTCCAATTCAATTTCTCTAAATTGGTTAGGTTTTCATTCAATTCCTCACGGGTTCTAGTTGTATGGATTAAATTGATTGATTTTGATCATATTATGATGTTTTAACTCAATTACATGCTTTACAATTAATTTCATATGACCCATGCATGATCTATGATTTTGACTATGAACCTTAGAAGGCTATGCATTTATGAACAATCTATGAATCTATGATTAATGTCTTCATGAAAGACATGCATGAGTTATGAAAAAAGAATTGTCTTATGATATTGGTTGCTATAATATTGACATCAATGCAATTGTGAAAGGCTTTCTCATAATAAGGGATCGTGGTTTGGTGAAAGACTTTCTCACTCATGCATGATTCAAAGAAAGGAGCTATTCTATGATATTTTTAGCTTGAAATTGTAACTTAATTTTACTTTTTCATGGATGGTGATATGCTTATGTTTATGACTAATTCCATTGGTATTTTTACTTAGCACTAAGAGGATATTAAGATAGAGGCTCTTCTGTTAGTAGAGATCGGGTCTCTAATAACAATCTACTTTTCCCTAACTATGTGCCCTCATAGGTTGTCTTAAGTGAGATAGCTAGTGGATCCACCTAA